TTAACTGAATACGATATCTAACGTACAACCCAGAAAGCAATCAAGAGAAGTGTATTAGTTGATCATTTGGCTCATCGGGCCTTGGATGACTACCAGTCTATGAATTTTGATTTTACGCACGAGAATATTATGTTAGTGACTGACTATGAAGAACCTGGACCAGATGAAGGACCTGAAGAAGGATCCCGATGGACTATGGTTTTTGACGGAGCTTCAAATGCACTCGGTAATGACATTAGTGTTGTAATCATATCCCCGAGGGCTTCCATACTCCTTTTATCGCCCGACTATGCTTCAATTGTACCAACAACATGGTGGAGTATGAAGTATGCATCATGGGTCTCAAAGCTGCTATCGACCTGAGGATCAAGTTCTTAAATGTTTTCGGGGATTCAACCTTGGTGATAAGTCAGATCAAAGGAGAATGGCATACGAAGCACCTGAATCTCATCCCGTACAAAAAGCATGTGCTGACATTTCTCCCACACTTTGAGGAGGTAACCTTTGAACATTTCCTACGAGAAGAGAATCAGTTAGCGGGTGCACTAGCTACTATGTCATCTATGTTCAAGGTCAGGTGGGACAAGGAAGCTCCCCGAATCACTATCGAGAGGTTAGATGAACCAGCACACTTCTGTGAAATTGATACTTAAGAGGTAGAAGACAAACCTTGGTTTCACGAAGTAAAAAGGTATCTTGAGGCTCAAGAATACCATGAGGGGGCGTTTGTCAACGACAAAAAGTTTCTGAGAAGGTCCTCCGCAAAATTCTTCCTCAGTAATGGAATCCTCTACAAGCGCAACCATGACTCTACCTTACTGCGGTGTGTAGACAAGAGCGAAGCGGAGAGGATTATGACAGATCTACACGAAGGTACCTTCGGAACCCATTCAAGTGACAATACCATGGCTAAAAAGATCCTACGGGCGGGATACTATTGGTCCACTATTGAACCAGATTGTTATCAGCACTCCCGAACTTGTCATAAGTGCCAAATCTACACTGATAAAGTACATACACCTCTGATTCCCTTGAACGTGTTGATGGCTCCCTGGCCATTTGCAATATGGGGCATTGAAATGATCAGAGATATTAGACCTACCGCTTCCAATGGGCATCGCTTCATCCTGGTGGCCATTGATTACTTAACGAAGTGGGTTGAAGCTGCCTCTTTTGCTACTGTAACCAAGAATGTTGTGGCGCGGTTTATCAAGCATAACCTGGTTTGTCGTTACGGTATCCCCGAATGAATCATCACTGATAATGGTACGAATCTCAATAACACGATGATCACCGAACTTTGTAAACAATTCAAGATCCAGCACCATAATTCTTCCCCTTACCGGCCGAAGATGAATGGCATTGTGGAGGCTGCTAACAAGAACATCAAAAAGATTATACAGAAGATGACGATGACATACAAATACTAGCATGAGATGTTACCATTTGCTCTTCATGGGTACCACACCTCCGCACGAACATCGACAAGGGAAACACCCTACTCTCTGGTATATGGCATGGAGGTTGTCCTGCCTATTAAGGTCTAGATCCCTTCTCTGAGGATTATGAAGGATGCAGGTTTGAACGAAGACGATTGGATCCAAACTCGACTTGATCAACTAAATCTGATCGACGAGAAGAGACTTACTGCTGTCTATCATGGTCAAATGTATCAAAAACGGATTATCAAGGCTTTCAACAAAAAGGTCAGGCACCAAGCATATCAAGTCGGGGATCTAGTGATCAAGCGCATCATACTACCGCAAGGTGATCTCAGGGGCAAATGGACTCCCACATACGAAGGGCCATTTGTGATCAAAAACATTTTCTCGGGTGGAGCCATGATTCTGACCACCATGGACTGTAACGACCTTCCTCGTCCTGTCAATGCGGACATAGTGAAAAGATACTACGCATGATTAAAGACCCGCTAGGTTGACTGGCCTAGGAAAAAATAAGGGCTTCCCGGCGAACCAAAATGGTTCGGGCAAAATTTAGGGATGAAAATGAAAAAATTTGTAAACCTGGGAAACCGAAAACCTGAAAAGGCGGCTTGGGAAAAAAAGGGTATCCTGGTGGACTGAAAACTTGAAAGGGCGGTCCAGGAAAAAGTTAGGGATATAAAGCATATCACTATGTCCCATTGGATCACCTTGCGACTAGACCTTACTATCAACTATCAAGCTCGAACGGCACAAATCAATCTAGTCAGCTTTGGACAAGAAGCAAAGTGATGAGACGCTCGAAGATATAGCGGCAATAGCATAATTGAAAATCAATGGGATTATTACACATAGTTGTTTTCTTCTCTTTGTACACAATATTGTATAGCTTTCATTTTTATGGCGGCGTTCTTTTACTAGAGTATCAGCCTCCTTGTACAAAAATGCCTGTTATAAGCCAACGTCATAAATTAATACAAAGTCATTTTTACAAAACCATTTGTTTTTCTTTTTCTGTTTTATTTTGCAAAAAAGTCGAATGATTTATTCTTGACACGTGCGTTTGAATATGATTTCTATTCACAAATATTTGCATATGAAACAGAAAGACAGTTGCTCATGACTTAAGGAACGGGGCAAAGTCTAAAAAACCATTTCAATCCCAACAGTTACTCTATTCAGCAAGGTACAGGGGCAGAGATAGTTTTGAAACAAGGTCGCCATTACATGCGACCCCGTGACATCTACACTCCCCACAGAGTAGAGGCAACCAAAGCTTTATCATCGGCTTCCCCAAACAGGAGTTACTTTCCCCAACAAAGTTCCTTCAGAGAGCCGACGTCCATATTCCCCAGTAGAATTTTATAATCATAAGTGGTTCATAAAGTTGTCTCCCAAGCAGAGTTTATTTCTATGAATACAGAAGCAAAATCCCCAACAGAGTTCATTCCTCCAGCTACGGAAGTTCATCCCCCAATGGAGTTTATTTCTCTGAATCGGAAAAATCTTCTAGCAAAGCATCTCCTCTCTCAAACAGAGTTATTCCCCCACATAGTTATTCTCAAGTAGAGTCTCTCCCCGACAGAATGTCACAAACAGAAAGGAGTAAATCCACGGCATAGTCATCTCCATTCACCATCCCCGGCGGAAGTAGAAGAACCACTTTTTCTACAACGGTCGGTGTTGCACCCCAAAATTTTCCCTCCTAATCTCTTTTATTTTGCTTATACCTTCTCATTCATTTTCATACATCCCATTAGGTCACTAACATAGCATGCATTGCATTTAAAAGTTCATCTGAGGTTCAAAAAAATTAACAGCTATGAGTCTGGGGTTTAGGACTGATTTGAGGTGTATATGATTGAATAAGGTTGATTATTCTGTTTCTCCTTGGTGTACAAGACTTTGGATTTAGGGTTTTGGTTCATGATTCATTTTTTGACTTCTTCTCATCAAAGTTACAAGGCTATTAGGGTCCACCTCTCTATGTGCGAACAAAGATTGGAACTCTCTTTAGTTATCATACTCTGATAGGGGTTCTTCTTCAGGGATCCTCGGTCATAAGATGGGATTTTGCATAGTGATTTGCTTCAAAATAAGGCATGGGGTCTAAGATTTATTCGCGGGCAGGGATTCGCTTTATTGTGCTATTGGTCATCAAATGGATATGGAAGTTTTGGTTTCCTGACATTCATGGAGCGCACCTCATAGTTGAGTATTGTGGATCATCAGGAGAAGGTTGTTTCATTTGGTTAAGTGATTTGCAAGAAAATATTGTGGATTCGATACAAAGATCATTTCGAAGTTAAGTTTAAGCTATTGGGATTTGTCATATATGGATCCGTTGGTGCAAACATAGAACGAAGTTTAATTGGGATTCAAGATTCCTGATTCAAACAAAATTCATAAGCATTCAAGTTTCATTCGAGATTCATTCTATATTACAAAATCAACAAGAACACTCTAAATGTCAAATGGGCATAAGATTCGAGGGTATCTCAAGAAGACTAGCATTTCTTTTTGAGCTTGTTAACATTCACTAGTATGAAGATCATGGATACGGTTATCTTAAAGATTTTTTGCTATGGTTCAAGTCCCTTTCATCTTCATCTAAGGATGCTGCAAAGGTACTGTTTTGTGTTAAAATCATCAAGCGGAAAAGTTTTTTTTTTCCAAATCAAATATTTAAAGATTGAGTTTCCAAGGTCTTGGTTCATGCTGTGAAAGATGAAGTTACAATTCAAGTTAACATGGACGGAAGAGTTGAGTTAGGAGGTTTCATTGAGTTGAAGATGGTTCAAATTCGGTCAAAGTTTATATTGGTATTAAAAAATAATAAAAGATGCATTAACATGCAAATTAAACTACAATCAAAGTTCCAAATTCATTCAATTGAAACTCAATATTTTATTCACTCACATGTTCGTGTTTACAATACTTTGCAAATGAAAATATCATTTCACCGTCAATTACCAATACTCATTTGTCTAAATGCAAGAACAAAGTCTATTCAAGGTCTTTACAAAAGTTCATCCAAGAGAAAATTATAAAGGGATTACAATTGCAAAGTCAAATTCACTATGCAGTTTAAGAATGTGCTACAAAGAGATTACAAAAGATATTAGCTTGCATAGGTTAATCAAGAATCTAACTATAACTATAATCCCTATTTCCCTAAGCTTGTTCAAATTATCTCTTCTCTCAGCTTCATGTTTCATTGGATTCCAAAATGCCTCCATGCCAAAGTCTCGCCTTCATGCTGAAATCTTACGCCAATCAAACATCAGAATCTGGTTCAAACTTGATATAACATGACATAATTGTCATACATTCGCACTTGTAAGAGAACCATATTCAGTCTATAATTTACAGAGAAAACTTGTTGTTGAAAGGGTTGTTTTTGCACTAGTTCAGAATTCAGCTACTATTCTAAGGACGAAAAGGAAGCATGCTCACCAGACTTGTACACAAGTCGCTTGTAAAGTTTTCAGTCGGGACGTGGATTGAATATCAGTAGATATGTTACAAGACTTGAATTCCCTTGCAGCAACTTCAAAAATGGATTCTTCCTCTTCCGGTCAAAATTCTGCAGTTACAAATAAAATCAAACATGCATACAAAAAGAAAAAAGTCATTAAAAATCCTACAAAACATGTGTAAATGTTAATGAAGATGGATTTTTGCAAATTGGATATTCTTCAGTAAAGAAAGTAACGGGTGTCAATAGTATTGATATTATGCTTTTGGGAAGTTATATTGTGTATTCCCAGAGCAAACAGAAGACAGCTTCACGATTTTATATAATGAAGTGCTCGCAGTTGACTGGTGAGGGGTTTATTAAAGTTCCTATGAAAGATTTAATTCAAAGCTTTCAGGGTCCTTTAGTCAAAAGGAGTTCTAATAGTTGGACGGACACCCCAGTTGTTCAGTATTTCCACGTGCTTCCTTATTCTGAAATAATCTCAGAATGGTTTTCTAGAGAAACATTCTCAAATAGTTTGCAAGATTTAGAACTGGTAGACAAACAATTTCTGAAGCTTGAAGTGACAAAATCAAGTGTAAGTAGTGAGGGCATGTCTTTTGGGCTTGATAACAAGCCATGCAGTGATATTATTGAAGCTCTTAATCTGAAAGAAACCAATGGTTTCTGCTCAAATAACCATGTGGTACTGTCAAGAAAGAGCAGGATATGGACATGAGAAACTCTTTAGTTTTTCAATCTAAAGTTAAAGAAGAATGCCAACAGCATGTTGCAAATACTTTACAAGTTAGTGAAGATAAAAAAATCGAAAATCCATCAAAGCAACATCATTCAAACGGATGTGACGACCCTAGCAAGATTGAAAAGGTTGCTTCAACATGGATGGCACAGGAATAAAAAAAACAGCTTATTAACTACCTCCAAACAGAATTCTAACCAACTGTCATAACAGCCAACTAATTGATTCCTAACCTGCTACTGTTTTCTAACAGATTTATTCAATCCCTAACAACCTATGAACAACCTCTAAGTAGCCCTCTAAAATTCCTAACTTTCATAACCAATTTCTAACCATTCCAACAAACTTCAACAGAAAATCCTAACTTACTAACAACCTACATAACAGAATTTTCTAACTGCATCCTAACAGTTTCTAACTACCTAACCAACTCCCATCTTCTAACCAATTCTCAGCAATCCATATAAGAGGATCCAGTTTCAGAGTTACGGGAGGCGGGGATTCACTTTTTTAACTCTACAGAATAGATAAAAAATATAAAAAAAATTTACCAATTCAAATTGATTCTGCAATTCTGCAGAAGAGTCTCCATAAACCTCTTCCTTCTTCCCTTCCCTTCATCTTCATCTTCATCTTCATCTCTGTTTCAAGCACCATTTCAACCTCCTTCATTTCCCCTTCAAACGCAATCGCAATATCATTAAGAATGCACAATTACATCAATATAGCGACAAAGCAAAAATGCAGAAGAAAATTGGGGATTGGAAGAAGGTTTACGAGTTGTGATTTAAAAAAAAAGAAGAAGAGTGAATCTGATGGTAATCATACCTGGAGCGAGAATTATCCAGTGTTCTATCATTGTTCATTAAGGTCGAAGACGCACCGTACGTTCTCCTACATGTAAGTCTTCGATCTCTTGCAACCTTGTTCTACCAAAGCTTATGCAAGAACCTTGAAGATGTAATGGAATCATGTTTCATCGAAGCTTTGCCGCCGTTTGAATCTGAAGAAAAAGAAGATGTGATATTTTATGCGCATGAAGATGAGAAGAGAAACACGATGAAGTTCGAGAATTAACGATGATCGTAAGGAAAACGGTGGCGACGCTGTGTTGAGGTCGTCGGAGACGAAAATCGTGAGAGGAGATCGCTCTGAATAGCGATTCAATTGACGATGAACTGAAGCAACCAAGAACATGCAAGAGTTGGATTGATGGTTGTTGTGTAATGAGACGGATAGGACAAGAGGAGGCGATTCGGAACGTCTGAACCATTACAAGACTTAACATTATCTGTGCCAAACGTTGCCGCTTCCTCACTTTGATTTTTTTTTTATTATTATTATTTTTATTAACAACAGGTAATGTGATGAAAATTGAAAGGGTATATGGAATTGCAGGATGAGGCTGGTGTTGATAGTGGGCCGGGTGACTTCTTACTAAGTCCCATTATCATTTTTGGTGGCTTAAAAGTGCTACAAACAAAAATTCTCTACAGACTGGGCTTTATACCATATATTGCATTGCTGAATTATACACCCCTGATCCAGCTTCACACCCCTTGTCCTCATAATCTTTAGGATTTTAATTTTTCATATAATTTTGTCTATTTCTTTTTTATGATAAAATTCTAAAATCCATAAAAACTTGTTAGTTTTTGATTTAGGAATTAATTCTTGTTTGTTTGTTAGAATTTTCTCTAAAAAAATAATAATAAAAAATGGTAGTATATAATAGAATTTTTCTAGAATTACTTTTTAGAATTTTAATTAGAATTTTCTATTAGTGTTTATGTTTAGTAACCATTTTTGTTTTCATCTTTAGCTAAGATTTTGTGATAGAATATTGATGCAACTTTGGCAATATGGAATGCTGAGAGATTAATTCTATGATCACTCATACAGAGCAGCTTTCGGCAGATTTTTCTTATCACTAGCGTGGCTTTAACGAGGAAACGGACCTTCTCCGTTCGGTATCATCGCGACCTTAATTTATACTTCATTTCCGCACTTTATCGCGTTTCTTTACCGTTTTTTATGAAAAGCATGAGTTTTACCGCAAACCATATACATGCTAACATTAGGTAGACATTTCCCTTTCATTCATCCTTAACTTAGGTCTAACAATGCATGATAAAATTAGGTTTAGAAATAGGCTAGTCTCCATGTGACTTTTCTTCCCTTTTTGCATATACATCTAAAACTAAGACTTATTTTCCTTCAAACTTCAAAATGATTAAAAAATTTACTGACGAGAATCGTGCCTTTGTTGATCATGGGAAATGCTAAGCGGGTCTCTTCTCGATCTTATCGTTTTTTCCATTCTAAGCCTTGGCATGGTTCAAGTCTCAAAGAATCTTTTCATGAATGAGTAGAGAAATGACTAAAGTCTCTCCGTTGAGATTAACTAGTTATTCTCTACAAGCAAAAAACACCAACAAACATAAAATTCTTTTTGCCTTCGGGCCTTCCTTTCAAACTCTTTTCAAAAGAGCATGTTAACTCACTTTTGTGCTGATGCGTAAATCTCCAAAGGTCGAGTTGCGGCAGAAGGCGAAATTAATATTGTTCGTCAAAAACACAATCCAAATTCTAACCTTTTTGTGCACCCAGGCACATTTTCTCCAAATCTTTTCAAGAGAGCAGGTTAATTCACTTATGTGCTGACGCATAAGTCTCCGAAGGTCGAGTTGCGGCAGAAGGCGAAATTAATGTTGTTCATTAAAAAAATATAAACCAACAAAAATATAAGTCGAACTATGGCTGCTCTGATTCCTTAAAAGGGATACGTAGGCATTGGGGTAGGGCCCAAGCGAGCACAATTTTATTTTCCCTACATTCTTTTCTCATTTCTTTTGTATGCATTCTCCCTTCAGTAGTATAATAAACAGTAATCATAGATTAAACACACCCATAAGATAGATAACAAGAGTGGATACCGTAGAGTACTACGGGCGTGTGGGGTTCTAATACCTTCCCCTCGCGTAACAGACTCCCTTACCCTTATATCTTGGTCGTTCGACCTTGATTTCACCCTTCTCAGGTTTTCTCGATGTTTACCTTTACCTACATGTGGGATAAAAGACGTTCGATGACGACTTCACTATTTTGATGATTTTCAGCCGGTTGTTTCAGCTGGAGACTTCACTGGGGACAGGTTGACCAAATGCTGGTCCATCCCATAGTCGATCCTAGCTCTTGTCTTCTTTTCTTTGGGTGTTTAGTTTTATGCTTTCAGTTTATTCATTCATTTTTGTATATATTTGAGCATAAGTTTGCAATGCATTTTATTTCTTTCCATATTTGTTATCTATTATGCTAGATTCTGGTTTTCTATGTTGGGTGGGGATGTTACTATTGAGGTAAAAGGCCCAGTACCCAGGCCAGAGTGCACTAGGACACCTAGGAGTAGAGTGGGGTCATGACGGCTATAGGACGTGGTCCAATTAGTGCAGTCATGTCATATACCATGCTCGGATGAGGTTCAAATGAATTACTATCAGCACCCACGTCTGTGGGTAAGCCCATGGAACTTTCAGGCGGACCCGTGATTTTCGAGTCACCATTGCCTTACCCTAACCTAGTCTTCACTCGTGAGTGGGGAGGGAATTCTTATTACAGGTACAGTTGGTGACTATGTTCAGATGGTTACCCATGCTCAGATAGAGACTGTGATCAGACGATGGTTATTGGTTCTAATGGTTATATTCTGGATTTCTGTTGGTGACTTTTTCTAATGTCATATCCTGTTGGTGACTTATTCAGATGCCATATCCTGTTGGGGACTATGTGGTTCTCAGATTTTTTTTCTGAATTCCTGCTTTGTAAACTTGGGGGTTTATTCAGGCCTTCGGCATTAGTATTCCCAGCATGTTCAGAAAAGGCTCAACGATATCCAGTTCCAGAATATCCAGTTCCAGAAGCCTTGATCCCGTATAATCAGTGATCTACATAGTACTTGGTTCTTATGTGCAGAAGCTGTGCCAGACCTCTAATCTGATGATACTCACAGCAATCATATTCAGGGATGATGGAACCTTGATCCCATTTGATCTCATGTCTTTGCATACATAACATGGTTAACCACATACTTAACATACATCTTCTATGATTTCCAAGGAATCGTATCTGTGAGCCTAGTGCCAAACTTTTCCATCCTTACTTACGTAAAATCAAAATTAAAGCACGTAAATTCCTTGGAAATGATGGAACATGACATGGCATTCGTTCATGCATCCCATGTATATTCATGCATCCATAACAGGTACTCAAAGATTTGGGATTCTTGCTCATACCATGTGTTCTCCTCAGAGGTTCAGCTTGATTTCTTGCTCCACATGTTCGGGGATCGGTTAGGGAATAACTTCGTGTGGTATACATGCAAGCTTTGGCCCGTAGTCAGAAATCTCTTCAAGCAGGAATATAATTGATTGAAACTCAGATGAGCCAGGTCATGAAAGCTCTGATGATGATGTCAACAATCTTGCACCTACTGTCACAGTAAAGGTTCTCTCTTCTCCTCATCTTTTGGGAATTGCTTCCAACCATAGAGTGCTACGCAATCCTGAGTTCTTGGAACATCTTATCAGCAGATGCTTCCCATTTTACCATAGGATCTTATATATATGCTTCGTTCTTATTGACCAAAGTCAGATATGGTTGCCACACTAGGGCATCTGACTTTTCATTCAGGGGCATTCCATAACTTTGTGTTCCCTAATTTGTTCAACAAGAGCCATTATTTATTCCCCAAGTGAATTCCTAGGGCAAAGCTTTTAAGCCAAGACAAGAATCCTGATGAGCATGTTGATGCAAGCCCAATGCATGACATCCTATTATTCCCGGTTCTTCCTACCTCTGATCTTTGAAGTCTTTCTCCCACAAACATCTTTTCTGATTACGATATGTATGCTAGATACATCCCTTATTCCGGGGCACCCGGTTTTGATATTGAAGACTACAAAGGGGATGAAATATAAATC